TAAGATGATCAGTACGGAGTAAAAAAGCGTCACGGCATCGCTTTACTTCTACCAGCGACCTTTGACTAATATAAAAAAGAAGCCGTCAACTCGTCTGACACCAGTAATGGAATGGAGTATGCATTTGAAGAGCAAGTACCGCAGGTCGGCTCATAAACTACCGCATGAAGTCTTGCTCGAGTAGCATTCTTATCGCTTACCAGGTTATGTAAGTTCCTGCACCTACACAGCCACTCAGGCGCCTATTTCCTTCGAAGAATATATCACTTTAAGGGTCACTAATCTTAACCACAGCATGACTAGCCGGTATAAACTTGTACTAGAAAGACCCGCAGAGACACACGCACGAAGGACGAAGATTAATCATTGCTGGCAAAATGTATGAATAGAAAAGCTCCTGGGTAAGAGGAATAGCGCTTGATTCAAACGAAAAGCCGTCAAGGAACATCAAAAACCTCACCGCATCGCTCTCCTTCACAGAACCAGCGACGGAACTTTCCAGAATAGCGGCCTTTTCTAGACTTTTAGCGATAGATGGTTGACGAGCGCGCGGTAGAATGACCGGCTTCTCAACGACAACAACTTCAGTATCACTGTCTGAAAACATAAGTGAACCGTGAAACAAAATTTTACTTGACTATCTCAATTGATATTACTCACCAGTGTCATCCCAATTGCCTGACATATTGTTTGCCCGTATTGAGTAGGTAAACACACTATCTGGAGAAGATAAGTTAAGAAAGGGTGAGAGTGGAGGTTATGCCAATGTCACCTAGCAGGGATGTAAAAAGAAAGCGTTCCCGGAAGGGCGGAAATAGCTGGACAGCGGGAAACTCGCTGCGGGTACAATGAACTCGTCCAAGCAACTTGTCATTAAGTCCACGGACTACTTGAACTTGAACCTTTAAATCACGTCAGTTGCTGTCCTCCCCTGCGCTCTCTCGTTTAGGCTATGGAGCGCGACTAGTAGGACCTTGCACGCTGAAAAGCTTTGCTATACAATTCATGGCTACTCATCTCGGAGTCCATTCTCCTCCTTGAAATCCCGGTTTAAAGTCTATATCCTTTCCATTTGGGCTCCAAAGTAGAGTTTGCCGCTTTCCTCTAGTCGCCTGCGCTCTAGCTTTTTGTGGCAGAGAGCATGGAGGAAAGTTCTCATCGTCATCGTGTGCTTTTAGTGGAATGGAGCGCGAAAATGATCACTGACTCGGAGAGTGGCCAAAGCGATCTTGTGTTCCTTCTTAAACTTTCTAAGGTTTATCCATATTGTAATATTCACAGGGGTGGGTTTTCTAGACATACCGAAGACGAAATCAAAAGGAGAGCGGTGTTCAAACGGAGTCTTGTTGTTGGTGTAAATGTTTGTCACTTTTTGCTTACTTTTTTCATGCCTGGATCAACCTGCTTTAATTTAGTTCGATCACTTCAGCCTTCCTTGCTGTTCTCTTTTCTGTATCGACTGTTCACCACTTCTAGATTAAAATTGAGACAGATTGAGTGCATGAAAGTAGAGACAATCTCTGCACTGCCGTGAGATGAATTCGCAATATTGCGCCGTTGCTGTTTGTTGTGTATGTATGTTTTTTTTAAGTTCCGTAGCCCTAGTTTTCTTACCTTGAAAGAGTGCCGCCAAATATCTTTTCTCAAGTGATTTCAATTTTTTTCACCCGTCTCACACTATCTTCATAAATTGCTGCAGTAATGTTGTATTGTTTGTCACGCTTTCAATGAGTCATCAGTCACGCGAGTTTTATCAATGTTGTTAGATTATTGATCGAATGATGAAGTTTTCTCGAAGGGTTTTCGACAGGACCCATCATACTGTCGCAGTTTACAAAAAGCGAGGAAAACAATCAGCAGGGTATTTCGGCTTCCTGTGAGGATGTGTGTTCTGCAAACAACGTTCCACCTCGAATCCTCTTCCTTCAATTTATGTTTTTTTGTCTTCTTTCATCTCCTTTCCAATATCAAAATTATCGGAACGAATTCTTTGTCACCATGGAGAAGCCGCTCTCCCAATCTGTGTATTTCTGTCCCCTGGCGCAATGCTGTCTTTTCCCTGTGAAACTGGAATTGGAATATGAATTAATTATTGGTGTCAAGTGTTTTACATAGGCATAATCCGCGTTGTTAGTGGGTGAATCACTGAGCCTTATCACTTATTGGTAAAATTGCACACAGTTGCATTCCTGTTTCCAGCATGCAGTTTTCTTTGCAAGCTAGACAGGGAGGCGGTTGGGAGCCACCCTCTCCTTCACTATTTTGCATTACTGTCACACTTTTGCCCAGCTGAAACTGATGTTATCCTTCATTCCATCTTCTTGTGGCTTAGTACGCAGTCGTACTCAAGTCAGCCAGCTGGCACAGCACGTGAACAGCCATCTTGGCATAACACTCCTTCTTTTGGCATAGCTCTCCTATTTTCTTTCTAATCTTCTAAGAAACCAATGGGTAGATGGCGCCATGGCTAGAGACGCCGTTCAACATCTTTTGGCTCGAATTTCGCTCACGTCCGCAAAGCTTTCCTTTCTGTGATCGGGTATCTGTCATGAAAATTGTCTGGGAGTACGAAAACGCTTGATAATT